TAAAATGCCACCAGCACTCCAGAGAGTCGCCCTTTGAGTATTTTTATTGACAAGTCTGGAGGCAACAGAAAAGGCAGACAGGCAAAACAGTTGACCCGCATATTGTTACCAAACACTACTGAAAATGAAGAAGGGTGAAAGAGCTGCTTTATTTTGAAACACATAGTCTTAAATTGGTTCTAACAAAATCAAAGACTATTAATTCTCCGTCAGGATTGAAACAGTATCTCATTACCAACTTTAAGGCTTCAAAAATCATGCTATAAACATTTCAGATACCATTTGGTACAGATACTCAATTTACAGATGTCATACAATTATGCATGTTCTGGGCTGCATTGGGTCTGGTTTAGTTTTATTAGATAATTGCATTAAACACACTGTCACCAACAGATTAAAAGCACCATTTATTCCAGGGCTGTGAACCAGTTCAGCACAATCCATCACTTCTCAAGTATCCTGGAACAGACAGCCAGTGATCCCAGGCCAATGCTCCCAAGAGTGCTAAAAACCATAATGATCAAATAATTAATTTATTAGAACTGCCTGCCTTATCTGTAATCCAGGGGAGCTGGGGAAATTTTACCAAAACAAAGTGCCACTGAAAAGACTATGATTTAAAATTCAGGTTGAGTTACTAACATAATTTACTTTCTGTAAAATGCTTTTGAATATGACCCTATTACAGATAAACTTTTTCTTAGAATCAGCTGCACAAATTTCAAGCATTTATGAACCAAATGAAAACCAACAGCAGCCACTTGATCTCACAACATGATATCGCATTTGTCTTTTCCAGCTCTGGGAGTGCAGTGGTGAACAGGAGTTGGATTATCATTTTCCTGTAAACCGGACTATGTAAGTACCTAAAAGCACTCCTGATTGCCTAAGTGAGACAATCTAAGGGCTAAATCCTGCCCTCTAGTGTACCTGTGGGTGGCGGTGCCCTTGGAACCTTCCTCATTTCCCAGCTGGGCAGAACACAGCTTGGGAGGGACGGGACAGTTCACTGCCCACTGGAAAGATCTTGTGTTGCCTTGGTCCACCTTTGGAGTGAACCAGCTACTGGATCACAGCTCTGGGGTGGGCAAGACTCACTAGGAACTGGGACAGAGGATTAGCAGACACAGTGAGAGATGAGAAGGCATCCTCCCCTGACCAGGAACATGCAGGAACATGATGGTATTTCTATGACAAATGAAGCAAAGTAAGAATACTCTGAACTTTTTCACAAAGGGGATCTCTGCTACCTCATCCCCTAAAGACAGCTACATCCAGGAGCCAGGATGAATTTTCATACTATGCTACAAAGTACTTAGGAAAGCAGTTAAGGTCTGTGCAACAGATCAAAAGTAATGGAAAAAGAGTCTATTTCCAGAAGGACTTGGGCAGAAGCAATGTATTTGAACATTTAGGGGCAGAGTTTTTTTTTTAAACAAGTCACCTCTCACTTAGTGCTAAGATTTGGAAAAGGTCTTGCTCTGTCAACAGCTCCAGCCACATCTGTAGGACACCAGAATGGGAAAGAAGATATTCCAAGTCCCAAACAATTTACACCTATAAAAGCTAAACACCAGGGCCTGAACACCACCTGACATTTGCTCAACTTGAGGATCGCCATGAGTTTTTTCCCATTTCATGATCAGTGATCAGCTTTCCATCATCTTCACTGAGCTGCTTTAACAATCTGTCTATACTTCATCAGTCTTTCCAAACATTTAGACAGTAACCATTTAAATGTTGTGAGAGAGACAAGTCAAAATCTTAATATTAACAACTATTTATGAAAGGAACCTTCTTAAGACATTTTCCTGGACGAGTGTTACCCTATTTTACATTTTCTTCAGATATTTATGGAAGAGGAGAGAGGTACTGAGCAGGAAGAAGGTATTTCAACTGCAGGGCTGACTGAGCTCACACAGCTGAATCCTTTCCAAGTGAGAGGCTGGAGCCTTGTCACCTCATTAAGGTGTGGACAAGAATGGCTCAGGATGTCCTGGATGCTGTCTTGGGTTATGCTCATCATGAAACAAAGCTGCTTAAGAAATTATGGAAATACTTAAATGCCAACCATTCCTCATTTAGGGAAACTCTGAAAGGAACCAGCTGTGCTACTAGACATACATGTTCTAAATGTATGGATAAGTGTTCTCTTTCCATTCTCCAGGCTTTTCCCCCTCACCAGCACTGTAGCCTCTTTGTGGGAAAGAGGAGAGTTTCTAAAAACCTTTCTAAAAACACTGCGTTCTTTGTACAATTTCCAGGGCATAAAGCAACAGTTGTTGATCAACAACAACAATCCAGCCATGTTTCTTGTTTTGCTTTAGACAACAAAACTCTCAGAAAGTGCTTTCTGTTTCTTGTTTGTCTGAAAGTACCTCTTCAAGGCAAAACACTCTAGACAGAGTCCCCAGAGTGTGTCCAAAGGGGCACTTTCACTGGAGTCACATCAGCACACGCGTCAGATGTGGCAATAATGGCCATGGAAAGACGCCCTGTCCTGGGTTTCAACTGTGTGAATCATGTGATCCCATGATCCCAATCCTCCAGCACGCAAAACGTCAACTTCCATTTTTAATTTCATTAGCAACACAATTATGAATATATGAAGGTAAGTGGGGTGAGTGTAAAACTGTGCCATGACATAAAGCAGATGTGTATTTCAAATAGAGGCAGGAGGAGGGGAGCTAAAAAGGACATGGATGATGGAAATTGTTTATCGTATTGAAACTTTGGTCTGAAACATAAAGAGACAGTAACCTGCCTTCTAAAATAAGAACTTCTTTTAAAAGTAAGAAGGATGATGTGATACTAAAATGTTATTTTGTATAATTAATTCCTAAGAATAGCAGCAACCACAAGCATCTCTACTAACTGACCATTAATTATTTCTAAACCAAATTATCCAGACATTGTATTCTTTTCTCAAAACCACCTTACAAAACCTTTCGCTTAACTAAGATCATCCTGAACTACTTGAGGTGTATATTTTCATTGCTGATTTCTTTTTTGAAGTTCTCTCACGTTGTCCAAGATTTATTGCCCTCTGCTGTGCCAGGAATACCACAAGATTTCACGGGGACTTCCACAGAGCAGCACTCACCAGGTCAGAGTTGAGCAGAGTCGTGTGGAATGACGTATTTACAGCGAGGATGCTAAGGATGTGAGCCACGCAATGCCCCAGCAATGAGCCTCGCTGACGCTTCTGCTTCTCAGAACTAGGGTTCTTCCAGAAAAAGAAAAAAAAAAAAAAAAAAAGGAAGGAAGAAACAGCAACAAGCCAAGAGCTTCTGATAATGAAAAAATGAGAGAATTCACTACTAGGAAAGCACAAGATGTCAGTTGAAAATTTTGGTATTGATAAGGCTCAACGGGAAGAGAAAACACACATGCAACAGACTCAAGAATGAAAAACTAGTATTAGTTTTCCTGAGATAATAATAAAAAAAGGCAGGAGGGAAGAAATTACTGTGGGGGAGCTCTATGATGAAAAAGGCAGCAGTGATAAATACCACCTCCACTCAGGGCAGCCTTGCTCAGCCAGGTAAGAGCACAACAACACACACCACTGCCTGCACTTTTGAAAAGCAAAGACAGGGAATGAGGCAAAAAACCCAACAGCCATGGCAATGTCTCAGACTCAGCTTCAGACTTGTACATCCTCCACTCAACATCAACTCCCTTTACAGCACATTTCCATAGCTACTTCTAGGGTGAGGTGACATGTCTGATGAACAAATGAGATTTATCTCCTTTAAGGATTCCTCTTAAAAGATTGCTTTGGAACTGTTGGGTAAAATTAATTGTTTTGCAAAAGGTGAATGTCCAAAGTGGAAAGTAATATTAAGAATCTTTGGTCTGTCTCCTCACTTCCTTTTCCTCCTAGTCCCTAAGTTTAGCCCAGTCCCTGCATCCATCACTCAGAGCACAGGTGCAAAGCAGATGGAGAACCCCAGTAAAGCATTTCACTTTGGCTCCTCATGCCAAGTGCCTGCAGGCAGGCCCTGCACACTGAGCACAGTAACAGTAACAAATTCCCTCCAACCAGGAATTGCACTGGGACGATTTGACCCAACAAGCCCGTGTACCTGAAGGAAACGCCTCACAGATGCATCAAAAACTCACCACTACATCCACAAAACCTCCATGCTGAATACTTCTAAAATATTCTGAGCTCTGCAAAAGGCAATTGTTTGTGGGACAAAAAGCAGCCTGTGTGGGTAACAGCGACCTGCCACATGCTCCCTGCAAGCCTGTGATCATTCAGTCCATGGGCCGTGTTCCCAGCCCAGCAGCCTTTCCCTCCCTTCAAAAGATCAGGTCTTTTGACAAGAAGGGACAACCTCTTGCTGCTGCTGGTATCCATACATTTTACCTGTATCTAACTCACAATTAATTAAGTTAAAAAAAAAAACCCAAACAATGCAACATGTAACATTTTAAGCCAAAAAGGTGTTCTGACAGCAGTTTGTTATAAATCCTTCTTCCTTGGCCAGATTTACCCCTCGGTAAATCTGTACCTGTGTGCCAAAGGTGCTCCTACTCACGAGCACCTACCCAAGAACAGCCTCCTCTCTACCTTGATGCATCCAACGCATTCACCGCCGCCGTGCAGAGCCGTCAAGTGCCATCAGACCTTGTAAGGGCCACGCAAACGAACTCGAGACCCCTTCAAGCCCGTATCAAAACCTCTGTGCACCTGACAAGCTCTGTACCCGGCAGGTTGAGCGTGGAGCCGCCAGCGAGGCTTTGCCGCGGGACATCCCGCGGGTGTCGGCGCGGAACCACCAGCTACGGGACGTGGGTATGAATTAACTCCGTGTGCGTGCTCCCGGTTATTCGCGCAGGAACATTCGGCACACTGACGGGCGCTTTCCAAGCACGGCTCGCTGCCGAAGCTTCAGCAGGGCGGGACGGCCGAGGCGCAGCCCCTCTCGCAGCCCGGCGAGGAGTCGCCCGCCCGCCCCGGTGCCGCCCGCGGTGGTCCCGGGAAAACTCACTGTGCGGGTCGCTCTTCTCGCGGACGCCGTCCACCTTCCCGTCGGGGTTGATGCGCAGGAAGAAGCCGCCGTTCTTGCAGTACAGGCGCTTGGGGTCCTTGAAGTGCCCCGGGGGAAAGGCGCCGCTGCCGCCGTCGTCGGGCAGCGTAGCGATGCCCCCCGCCGCCGCCATGCGCCGGGCCCCGACGGCACCGCGCCGCGCCGGGCCCCCGCCGCCCCCCGCCGCCAGCGCCGGCCGGCCTCGGCCCCTGCCCCGGCCGTCCAGCCTCGCCTCTCCCCGCAAACCCCGAGCCCCGCCGAGCTCCCGACACGTCCCGTCCCGCCCGGTCCGCGGCAGCTGCGCAACGATGCTGCCGGGTCGGGAGAGCGGGAAGCGAGACAGGCGGCAGTGCGCGGCACGCCGGGGACAGGCTCCCCGCCGGCACCGGGCTGCCCCGCCGCGCCACGCCCCCGCCCGCCCCCGCGCTCAACGGGGGCCGCTCCCTGCGCCGCACGGCCGGGACGGCCCTCTCGGGCACCGGGCAGCGGCGGCAGCGGTCCCCGCACCGAGGAACCCCGGCTGGAGCGCGGGGCTCTGTCCGGCCGAGCATCGCTGGGAACGGGATGCAGCGAACATCGGTCGGACATCTTTTCCTCTGGCCTTATAAAGAAGGTAACTAGAGAGTTATTTTAGATCAGAAGTTCTGTGGCCTCTGCACCATACTAAATTGTTTAAATCACAATGTGATGACACATGTGTTTAAAATAAATCCGTGGTAACCATTTTGTTCCATTGCATTCACCAGAAACCAGTTCTCCTCCCATCCAATGGGAGCAAAGTGATAGCAAAAGGCAACAGGTGAAAATTCTTGTACAGGCCTTCCCCCTCTAATAAAACAAATGTACAGAGTTTATAAAGTATAGTGATCCATCAAATGCACTTTGTGCCTGAGGCTGACAACAAAACATGATGAAAGGGTTGAAAAGGGATGAAAAAGTTTGTTTCCCAAAATATGCTTTATGCCCCTTATCTCCTGTTTTACAGCGGGGCTGGCTGCTCATGCCTGGAGCTTGGAAAGCTCTCTGGTTTCAAAGGCAACACAAGCAGCCCCGGCCAGTCCCAAGTGGGACTGCAAACACTGGGCTTTTCACAGAGCCAATATGCAGCAACCCACAGGAACAAACCAACGCCAAGGCAGACACAGCGTCCAGCTCACGCAGTTTGCAATATTCACTTCGCTAGCAAGTACGTCAAGGATATTTTGTTACTGCTTAACTCCCAACTCTGACCTCTGGCAAGCCATAAATTTTAGTTCTTTACCAGAATCAGAGACAATTATGCTGCTTCCCACACCCTCATGATGAAGGGAGCAGGCAGAGCAGGGCCCAGCCCAGAAACAGGTTCACGCAGTGTCAGCTGCTCCCCCTCAGTGCCACAGGCACAGCCCAGGAGCAGGAATCTGCTGCCAAATGGGCATTGCAGCCCTGCTGCTCCACGAGCATCCCCCTTCCCTAGGTTCCCCAGCTACCCATCCACTTCAAACACTCTCTGCTACTTCTCATGGAAATCCCACATTATCGCTGTACCTGAAAGCATGGACAGTCACAGCCAACAGTGAAGACCCTCCTTGTTTCCTTTTGCTCCTCCCCTACAACAGATGCTCCATGCAGGGCATTTTGTGTCCTTGCACAGTGGAGCCTTCTGAAGTCCTTGTGGCTTTCTTGGAAGGCAGATAAAGAGATGAAGGGAAGATGAAGCTCACTTCAAGTAGATGAAGAAAAGGGGTGAAAATGTCATTTCAAAAACTCTGATAAGTTCTTTAAAAAACAAAAAAAGCAATCTCAAAATGCTCAAAACCAAAAAAACTTTTCTAAAGACTAAACATCCATGGTTCCACTCAGCCACTCCTGGAACTTTACATTCCCTGCACACACGGCAGCCCTCACAGCTCTCAGCTGGATGCCCTGTCACAGAGCTTGCTTCACAGGACAGAGTCCTGGTATTTCTCAGTCTCTGGAGCCCTGATCTCCATGAGGGGGCTGAACCCAGTGGTGCCAGGGTAGGTATAGCAAACAGCTTAAATTCCTTATCAATTGATCCTTTTGTAAATCAGGAAAATCCAGTGCACCAGTAAAATTGTGAGGCTTGAGAACTCTTTAGAAGCTTGTCACTGGGAGTAGTGTATGTGGGGCTTACAACTACAAGATAACAGAGCTACAGTGAAAGTTCTATTCTCTAAGCAATCTGTGCTCACCTCAAGATCTGCCAACTTTCTATATTTTTAAATATATTTTCCTTTCGCTTCTTCAAATGGAAAACACGCCTGGGGTTTGTTTTTTTTTTTTTTCACTCTGCTTTCTTCTGCAGTCCAGCCTCTTAATTTGGTCATTAATACTGCTCTTAAATATTGACTAAAGCGCTTCTGGCAGTAGCATTTTCCTTTCTTGTGGCCTCTTCCACCACCCTTCCTTAATTCAGATCTTCCACATGATCATACCCATATGGCTGCTTCCCCTTCACCCAAGACCATCAATTATCCAACCCCTTCACAAGTGTTCTCTTGACCTGTGTAAGACACTCCATGTTACAATGCCTTAGAGCCTACCTTCCTGCTACTTCAAAAGTTTCTCTTAGAGACCTTTTCTCTATTTACCTTTTCCATTTATCTGAACTGCTGCCATTCTCTGTTTGTCCTGCACTGTTTTGTAACCAGCTACAATTGTTAATGGAATCAGAGAACATCACAAGCTGGAAGGGACCCATAAGGATCATAGGAGTCCAATTCCCTGGTCCTCACAGGAATGCCTTACCTCTTACAGAGAAAAAGCTGTTTTATTCAGTGCTGCTCTCACACAGAGGTCATACTAAACACAAGGCACTCATCTGCTCATCCAATCATCTCATTTATTCAATATATAATTCTTAAACTTCTAGAGACTCTCAGCAAGAACTGAGAATCTGGGGAAAAATTCCAAAGTAAACACAATTCAAACCTAAATTATATTGTTAGTATGGTTACAGGACAACCCTGAAAAATCCAAGAGTATTTTTTGTGATATTTTAAATGAAGAGTAAAAAATTCCATCAGGTCCATCTATCAGTTTTTGGATTTTGATCCAAGGGGCAACAACTTTCCCAGCTTTCCAGCCTTGCATATGACGAGCCCAAGAAATGTCAATCCCTTCTCACAGAAGCTGCTTTTCAAGGGGTTTCAGCCATATGTCCTTGATAGTTTATGAGGATGACATCCCCAGTTTGCTCACACTGGAATAATGAAACTAGTGTTTGAAAAGCACTTACTATAGAATTAAAATCAAACAAACAGAAAAAAACCCTCACTTTTGAAAAGCAATCAGAACTACAGGAAAGCAAAGATACCCAGGAATACTCAGGCTCATTCATCTTCCCACCATGTGGACACCTCAGCGGGTGGTTTGTGTCACTGTGGCAGCAGGGAACGCTTCCAGCTGCTGGAAATGGAACATCAGCCCAGGCCTCCGCTCCACACAGAGATTCCCCACTCCCTGGGGCTCTTGGCTTCCCAATCCCTCTCTTTGGTGCATATCCAAGAAGCAATTAGCCAAAAAGAGATGGATAAGCTGTGTCCCTTCTGAAGCTGTTCCTGTGTTGTCTAGTGCTCAGCTAATAGTGGAAAAAATCGTCCATCTCCTTTCTCCAGCACATGTTGACACCAAAGGTCTCCCACAAATTCTCACACTCATTTGTCACAGGAAATGTAAAAAACTTGAAGTACTTTAACCGCTTGCGTTTAAATTTGGGAGGAAGATTCCTGCCTTGTATGATGGAAACAGCCACAAATCTGGCTATAACTGAATTTCCCTTCTAAATATTGGTTACTGTAGAAAGCAGCTTCAGTTTTTGCTCACCTACTTTTGTAGATGCAGTTTTGAGGTAAAGTTACTCTGCGTGAAGTACATATGGATAAGTGCCTGGGAAAATCTTCTTGCATGGTGACTTTTTTAAAAACACCTGTAACAGAAGTTCAGCTTTTCATTTACCTTCCTGAAGACTTTAAGACCCTTCATCAATATTTCTTGTAAACAAAACCTTATTTCTTCCCTCCTCATTTTTTCTTTTTCTGGTGCAAATAGTAGAAACACATTACATCAACAATAGAAAAAATAATCTCCTCCCTATTACAAACCTCTTACAGTCTCCATTCCAGTTCAAAGGATACTTTATTCCTCTAAAGCACCAGTGGACTTGTTTATGTCTTTCTAAATAAAATTTTCTCAATATATGCTTAATCTGAGAATGCCACAGATGGGCAAAACTTTGTTTTGGGTTGTATTTACAAATGTTGGAAACACAACAGCCCTGCATGGCTGAAAATAAGAGAACAAACAATCCAGTGAGGTCCAAATTGGAAGTAAATCAAATTTTCTGTAGTCTAGAATAATTGAACTTGGAAAAAGATCTGAACTGTCTAGAAGGACTGGCAGCTGTTGCAAGTCTAAGAGATGGAGTAGTGACCTCAGCTGATGAGAAATGAGAAATAATGTCTTAAGTACAAATATTTATGGAGGTTAGAGTTTAGAATTAGCAAAATCACCCCTCTCCTTCTCTCTAATGTACATACAAACACATGTATACACACCCCCTCTCTCTCTATCAACATCACATAGAGCAATACATCTAAATTAGCAAAATTACTCCAGGGTAAGAAAAGAAACAACATCAGTATAAAGACTGATGATATACATTAAAAATAAAATCTTAAAAAATTCAAAAATACTCTGCAATCAAACACCATGAACTCAAACAATTTCAGTTAATATTGGATTTCAAAGAAATCCAGATTTGTTGAGAGATTCCTTAACGGGAACAATCATAAAATCACATCTCTTTCTCATAGCATTGGATTGTAACCGTAAGATCATAATTTAGTTATTTCTCTCTCCTGATCCCATGTCACTGGAAGGGTATCAAAAAGTGTCCCAAAGAAGTTTGGCTCCTGCTCAGGACTCAAGACACATTTTGTTGTATTGCTACAGGGTAAAGCAACTGCTTTTGCACTGGAAGTGCTCGAACACGTATTCAGAGCTTAGAGGGAGTGTTTTCCCTGTGTTTGGGGGAAAATCAGTGTTTGTGGGGCAGATAGAGCCAGTGCCTGCCTGTGTGGTTGTTGTCATTTCAGAAACCCATTATCCCCTTTGATCAGAGCACACACAAATCATTAGGAAGTGGATCTTCACATAAACACAGAATAGTTAAGGTTGGAAAGCACCTCTGCACATCTGGTCCAACCCCTGCTCAAGCAGGGAGGGCTGCTTGCAACAAGTCTGCCTGCAATAATTTTAACTCTAAATATTTCCACATCAACTACAAACCCCTAGCAAGTCAAAAATGTCTCTTTAACTGTCTCTCCTAGCAAGTGATCATAAAATAATGAAAGTTTTGTTATAGATTTATCTTTATCCTCTTTTAAATTAGAATCTTATACAAGTCATAGAATGCATAACTTCCACATGGGTTAATTCTGGAGAATGTTACATTATTCACAGGACTGCAGCTGGAAATAGAAATATAGGTGGAAGTGAGGAAAATACTCTTTCCATTCCCTTGTATATTATAGTAAAAATCCAAAGTAACCTCATGGAGGAATACAGCAAAGACAGACTATTCCCAGGGAACAACAGTTACCACATCATGCAGCTTTCATCATGTCACACTGAAGGGCAAGTAGAGATGAGATCAGCCGGACATTACAAGGAAAAAAAAATATTTTACTACATCATGAATTTAATTTCTACCACTCAACAACCAAAATCTTGCTCTGCGTCATTTCTGTAGGATGTATTAGCTGGCAGGTGGAAAACAACCAATAAATAAAGAATAAAGAAACAACCCCAAAGCCCTCTCTCAGAAACAATCTGTGCTGATAGTATTCCAGAAGGAATGTCATAACTCTCCCATTTGTTTTCTTTTTGTTTCAGGACTGTTTCCATGGATCCTCAAACCTAGGCCCCACTGAAGGGTTCCCCAGAGCATAACACCCTGCAGCAGCAGGTCACAGACCAAGCATCACATGCAGAACACAGAGAGAGTTCCAGTGGCACAAGTGAACACGTGAAGCCCTTGCACAGACAGCTCCCTGTACAGGGTATCGGCACAGCAGCATCTGAGAAAGGAAAGCAAGCCCTGGAATGCCCTTGGAAGTGCAAAGAAATTATGTGGTCCCTTGTGCTGCGTTAGCTTTTATTTCTAGGGAGGGAGAACTCTCCCAAATGAGCCTGAGGCAGTGTTCAGTGCCGGGGTGGATGCAGTTATAGCTCCACCACACCCCAATGCATCCATCCATGCAGTGACCAGCTTGGGACAGACACGTTCTGCAATCCCCCCCTTTCTCAGCTAGGAAACCATCCCTATATGTCTTTAAGTTCACCATGACTGCATCTCCCACGATATATGAAGTTACAAGTACTGTAAGTGCAACTGAAGCCAGCTGGCTCTTGTGAAATCTTGCTTGTTTTTTGGAGGGACCAGAGCTTAGCACAGCTCTTCGTGGTGGTTAAAGGACTGTAATCCACTGTCCACATGCCAAAATGGAATCTGTCCCCATCTGCCAGAAAATGACTTTCACAACACTGCCCAGGCTATTATCTCAAAGCTGACCTGCAATTATTAACTTCCAAGCATCTGGGAGGTTAAATTGCTCAGTGTTTTGCCTCCTTTTATGCAAAAGCAATATTCATTACATAAGAATCACTATTTAATTTATATCCTTTTCCTCCTCAGGAAAAAATAGAGAATGAATGCCTGCATAAGCCACATTGTTACACCTTAATTACTTTTATCAACTGCAGTCTTGATTGATTCTCTCTCTAAAAGCTGCATTACCTGCTCCAAGCTCCCCCAGCAAATGCTAAAGAGGAAGTTCACTCTGACATTAATGTGGCCAGCTACTGACCTCTGCCTTGTTTAACTGCTGAACTCATACTGCCATGAATTCCACCCATTGCATACTTCACATGGTATTTGGGAAGACTTTTCTAGGGGAAAACCAGCTGTACCTTAAAAAGAATTCTGAAGGTGCAAACTCCAAGCAGCAGGGACTTGAGAGTGAAAGGCAAGAGTTACTGATGTCATTACAAGTCTGAATGTTTGCTCTGAAACCTTTGTGGGCAGTTCACGTTGTTGATCTAACACTCACAAATTCCCTGCCATCCCCTGTGGGGGCTGTCAGCTGACACTGGAGATAAAGCTGGGCCCACTGGCTGTGCCACAGGCCACAGTGACTCTGTGTCCCAAACAGTCAAAGGCTGTCCCCTGTGGCAGGTTGTCTGCTGTGTGGGAGTCAATGTGTGCACCTTATCAGGGGATGTCAGTGTCTTCTGACAGCAGATGAAGGGAAACACTGTGTAATGCCAGACCCAGGAGTGAGAACCAGGAGGACACTGAAATAGGCACAGACTCATCTTCCTTTCTCTTGGCTGCCCCACCCTCCACCCCCAGCTTGTCTCGTCTCCTCTCCTCATCCTTTGTCCCCACCCTGTTCTTTTCCCTTCCCCTGCTGTCAGGCACAGGTTCCTGGCCTGTTTCTAAATCTTTCCCCAGCTCCTCATGCCAAGCTCTGTCCTCTGTACTGCTTTTCCTTTGTATCTCACTATGGCTCCTAGCCATGTGCTCCAAAGCTGTGTTTCCTTTCCCCACTGTTTCTTAATCTCTGCCTCCTTTCTTGAAATTCAAAGCCCATGTTCTCCTTCCTCAGCCAATCCTCATAACCCTATAGCTTATTTTTTCCATAGGCTCCTTCATTTTCCTTTCCCCTAGGACTTCCCCATCTCACAGTAGTTCCGAGCTCCCCATTTTGCTCCCTGGCAGGGTGGCAGGTCTCCCTGAGTCCCATCAGACTGTCCATCACCTGCCTATCACAAAACTCAAATTACAAACCTCTGCAGTCTTCTTCAAAGAAGGCATCATGGCATCGATTACCTCAGCAAGTGCAACCAATCCCAAACCCATGCCTCATCTAGGAGTGCTTCACTGCAGGGAAAAAGACAAAAATATATGTGCCAAACTTTATTGCCATAAGTATTGAGGGCTCATTCTGACTAATCGCACGTCTTGAGTCATTGCACCACAGCCAACAAGTACCTTGGAAAAACAACAAAAAACTCTGCAAGCAAACAATGAGAGAAGCCTTCCCCTCAAAGACCAGCAAGTCAAAGTCATTGCAATTAATGATACTAATGAATTAACCGAAATCCAGGTGGCCAGACAGCATTTTTAGTGCATCTGTTTGCTCACACATATTATACACGCAAGGATGGACAGAACTCAGAAGTGTACTCTGAAGTTTATTCTGTAAAATTCATCCCGGCCAAGATGAACGCTGGATTTTAGCTGTTATTTCCATTCACAATTGAATTGCAATTTTTCAGATTAATCTCAGAGTTTTTATATTAAGATGACAGCTGTTTATGAATCAATTTATGGGTTTTGTCATCTAATGATTCATTTGTTTTAAAACGACTGAGCTAATATTGATGATTCCTTTCACTGGAAATGAGAGTTACACATCCCATTTTACATCAGTTGCTCCTAGTCTGAAGTTGGGTTTTCCTTTGATTGCTTCCTTGCCCATTGTTGGGTTTGCCACTGTTGTGGCTGACGCGCGCACAGAGACGAGGAGAGTCACGGAGCTGCTGGCTGCTCTCCTGACATCAGCGTGTGGGTGCAGAGCCAGGGTTAGTCACTCAGCCCAGCTCTGGGATGATTTGAAGACAGGCAAGAAGAGAGTGATTTTAAGGTTAACATTCCTTTCAGGTTTTTATTTCCCTGGCCTCCCTGAAGCTACCATGACACTTTAGCTGCCGTACCTGAAGCTGCTGTCCCTCAAAGCAGGAGAGGAGGGGACAGAATGCCAAGGGAAAGGCTGGCTGCACAGTTGGCAGGGATGTCAATCCCCATGCAGAGTATGGAAGGAAGAACAGGATGTGCACAGGATATATCCCCAGACTACCTCACCTACTTGGCTGGAAGTTACAGTAACATTACTTTTTATTCACCCTTCAAATAGCACCTCTCACTGACTTCCTTGGCAGCCACCTCCAGATGGTATTTTTAGTGCACACGGATATCATATGAAGGTATTGAAATCTTTTTACCTACAACACTTGTGCATTCCCAAGAGAACTGTACAAGAGCCTTTATGGTCCTGCATCAAATAGCTTCAACTCATGCTGAACAATTCCTGTAATTTTCACTAACAGGTCTCTTGTCACAACCCCATCACCACAGACACCGTAAAGTGACACCAGTGCCATGCCAACTACTTAATTTTTATTAAGGGCATTTGTAGAGGTGGCTTTCAAGGACAATTATTAGCTCCAACTTCCTTCTTTCAATGGTACCAAGTAGCCCATAAGGCATCATTAGTTCACTAGCTGCTGAAGTATGGCTCTCTTCCTTATAAACGGCTTGCTGCTTTTTTGGACCTTTTTAAAAACTATTTAGCTATTTATTTTCAGGTTAAGAATATGACCTCATGCACAAATTTATTATTGAGCAGAGTTATTTTTATGGAACGCTGGGTTTTTTCCTAGTGGCCAGTTTCACCACAGAGACATGGATGAGAATAAATACCTTTCCCAGCTGTGGCTGTGGAATGTAGAACAGAATGGAGCAGCAGAGAGCTGTGATCTTTAGAAAACCAAAGTTTCAGAAATTCTGAAGGGGAAGAGGCTGAGTACAATCTGAGTACAGCCCAAAGAATTTACTTAGGGAACTAAAAAAAGCCTTTCCTTATGTTTGTTTGGGTTTTTTTCTGTACGCACTAGAGCCAATCCCTTTCCTGCTTTTCTTCATCTATATTGTGTGCTCTTCTCTGGTTTCTAGAAGATTCCAGGCTCTATAAAGGCAAATAGATGGGGCAGTTATAAATATCATAGCAAAAATGAGGAGCTCAGGGCAGGAGAGCAGGAAGAAGTGGCAAGTACAATAAAAGGAATGAGTTACTGCCAATGCATGTTTTCTCCAGAGCCTATAACAAATAAAAAGTTAGGTTAATAATCTAATAAACTTATGATTTTATTAAGCAATTAGTTCAGAACCAACTATTCTGAACCAACTTGATTCCACATTTAGTGCAGACTGGCCAGTGCCACTCGATTGCCAGACATACAATTAGTGTTTCAGTAGTCAGCTGCAACTATTTGGGAGCTGTGTTTGAAACTTTTTTCAAGCTTAGGGGATGACTACTTCTAAATTCCTCTCACTGGAGTTGTTAGCTTGATGACAAACCTTTTCTGTCATTCTTTACACTCTCACCTTCAATATCCCAAGCATAAGCTTCTAGAGAAATTAATCATTTAGGGTATCCCTATGTTGCCTGCCATTTCCAGTGGTTGATTCCCAGACATCTCCCATGCTCTCCAAATTAAGCACCAATAAAGCATCTCAGCACTCTGGAGTCAGTTCGGGCCTCGATCCAAATCCCTTCAAAATCTATTGGACTCTATGAAGTGATGATGGCAGCCATTGTTTTTAAGACATTTGAGTTCCCAGCCAGTGCTCACTAGAAGTCCTGGCTCCACGCATCACATGTGTGAAACTGCATGTGTCTAGGGCATGCAGTAAGGACAACGGAGTAAAGGCGTGACAGAAATAATTGATGAAGTGATTTGTGTAAAAAAAAAACCTAAAAAGCATAATTTTTAACTTTATCCAATTTTTTTTTTTTTAACAACTGTACTTAGCAGATGGAAGTAATTTTTCTGAAAAGAAGAAGGAAAAGAGGCCCCTGAAAATTATGAGGGGGTAAACAAATGCTTTTTGGCTGCCACATGCCCAAGACACCATACCAAATTCCAAGGAAAAAAGCTGCAGTTAGTGTATTGCTATATTCTGTGTAAGGAGCCAACAGAGGTGAATAGGTTTGCTTGTTAGGAGGAGTGAAGTGGGGGGCCTTTGTTCTTCCACTCAATACAAAATAGCCCAGCACTGAATAGCCTTTATCCTTATTTCAGTTTCTTTACAGCAGCTTCAAAAAAATAAATTACTTTATATTCTGATGTTTGGATTACTCCCAGAGAGGATAATTGAAAACACAATTCCATTACCTCTCAGGCAGGAGTCTTTTTTCCATGATGGTTACATGCAATAAAGGCAAATCGTAAGCATTGTAAGCAATGGGATGAAGAGACTGGAACAAACTGTATGCAATTATCACAGGAGACTGGATGAAACTGGCCAGAATCCAGATGTGGTACAAATGAGTTGCATTTGCTTACCTCCTGTTTGAATCCAATCTATTCATTTTAGCATATGAAAAGCAGTGGTACTGGGAGGAATTCAGCTGAAATTCCTGCTCTGTTGTATGGAGCTGAACTCTCATTCATTTCAACCTTTGAAAGAGCAGAATGTTTAAGAAATTCAAAGCAGAACATTACAAAGCAGAGACAGGGGCTAGAGGTCTGATCCCAACTACTTTTAAAAGAGAACACAAATATTACTAGGATCTTTACTATGAAACTTGAGTGGAATCAGGATTAAGGTTCTAGGCCACAAGAGAAAAATCACATATAAAAAAGTAAAACTGCGCTGCTCCAAAGGAATATAGGAAAAATGGAGTGTGCTTCTGATGTTAAAAGACAGGCCAACCAAAACATGTTGGATAAAACTCCTCACAAATATTCCTCATATTCTTCATATTCCTCAGGAATGTGAAGCTGCATTCAGAATGAGTACAGCTCTGAGGAGGGTTACACACAGCAAACAAGTGACGTTCCTGGTGAAATGCACTTTAACTGGAATGGGTTTTATGCTTTTCACATCAATTTATTCAAACTAGAAATGACCCCAACTTCTCTGGCCATGAAGTGTAATCTCACAACATTATTTAAAAGCAACATTTGTTACTTTTCAAGGGAAATTATTTGTCAGAAATGTTTGTAGGCACAGCACCTGCTGCTAGCCCCTTCCCAAGAAGCAGCTGCCAGTAGGGTGAAGATACAGCCCTAACAGCTCATTTTTATCTCCCTTTGCTGCATGATTGCCCTTGTTGATCTTCAACTCTCAGCTGTTACAGAAAGGAGAGATTTTTTACTCCAGGGACTGCAGCCACAGCCCATGGAAAGCAAAAGTGAGCAAAAGTCAATTTTGGTACACCAAACTCCCTCCCCACGACAGACAGACCTCATTTTTTCAGATGAGACACCATCCCTGTCACGCCACTAAACAAAAAATAATTTTTTTAAGTGCATGACACAATGGAGGAAAGAGCTTAGTGCTGAGGGTAAATTCCAAGTGGTTGGGATGTTTTCCTAGACTCTCTTACGTAACTCCCAAAATTCAGCCTCCCAGCAGCCTGCTGGGAGCAGAGGGGAGTGGGCAGGGAGCTCATTGACAATACCAGGCACATGTGCACATACACACAGAGCCACCACACACGAGGCAATGAGAATTAGCTAGTCCACTCCAAATGTCAGCCAATTTGTGTAATATCCTTTTACTCAGCATTTCTTATTCACTGGAGGGGAAAAGAATCTCAACAATTTTGTCAGCAGTCTCTGGAGAATTCAAAATGGGGGACGTCAGCTGGATTTATCGTGTCTCTCCAGTCAGTGCTGTTGTCTGCTGGACAGTCTGTACATCAATTAAATAACCAGTGAGCAGGCAGGTATTCACTTCATACAAACACCACTGGACTTGGTTTTAATGAGTTCTACTTGTTACTAACAGCAGCTGTCATTTCAAGTTGACTTACCATATCTGGGCTGCTGCTGCTGATCTTTATCCCACGAGGCACAGGAGGCTTGTTCCAGAAAGCACTTTGTCCAGGGAATGCTTTCTGAGACGGTGAAAAGCCAGGAAGCACAGATCAGATGACAGCAGTGCTGAGACTTCCTGATACAACACACCTAGGACATGAGGGAAGAGCTGAGAAGTACGGAGATGAACAGACTGGATAAAAATAAGGGCAATTATTTCCCCAGACAACCTCCCTGTTAAAGAAATGCACTGGTGGTAATTGCAATTAGAAATAGGAGCTTTTGTGACCAAAGTAAAGCTTACAATGCGCATCAAACAGAATTCTGAAATTAAATTATCTCCCTTCAGAGGTATGGACAAATCTAAGAAAAATCTAAGGTTGAAGTTCCAGAACTAAGTAAAGAAATTCACAGTGAAATACATGGTTTCTATTTCTACAACAATGTCATAAGAGAAAAACAAAACCTTGGATCAGCAAGCAAAAAAGTTTGAATTTTTACATTTATTGCAGTACTCGTGGTTACCAAGGACATCCTCATTGGTTCCAAATGTCCAAAGGAAACTCTGATGGGCCTTCCCTTAGAAGCCATTGGTTTATGCTCCTCTTCAAAGCAGAAAATTCAGTATTTCCTATTCCAAACATTTTAATAACTGATTATTTATTTAGAATTATATATATGTGGTAGAGGATTTTTCTTTTGGTTTAAATTAGGAAGGTTCCAAAAACTGTGTCATGTTTGATGTAGTATTTTTTGCCTGACAGGTCAAACCATTTTCTTGCAGCTACTTTCAAATTTCCTAAGAAACAAATTTGTTTAATCAGTCTCAGGATTAATCTGATCTTCAGGGAGAAATTTTATTCTGGAGATTTTTGTTGCATTACGGTCATCTTCAGTTCTTAGGAATACTTCTGGTTTCAATGGAGAGGACAGATCTACTTAACAGACAGATCCAACCTCTAAAATTGAGGGTAACACTTTCCTGTGAAAGGCAGGGCATGCCTAGAAAAAAAGAGTCCTGTTTAAATGACAAAATTGTTCAGCAATAATTTTAAATATTGTGTCATCCTCCATTTAATTTATTTACAGATTCTTTTGGCCTTTCTTTTTCACGGACTAAAGTTTCCATTTGTTCCTCTTGCAAATACAGCAGTAAGTGATAACATAAATTGTCATTACAAATACTTGGATGACTTTGCTGAAAGCACTTTTACCTCAAGCATGCCCCAAGAGCCATCAGATCCAGTCTGGCTTAAGCCAGAAAAATGTTCCTTAGATAAAAGCAAGAAATGAGAACATATTGGAGACTGCGTCCTACTTAAGTGTAAAATGATTATGTCTCAACATAAAATGGCCCTTTATTTCACCAAATCCAGTTGATATGAGCTGAATAAGCATCTCCTTGATGCTTATTGGAACGAGAGGCACATTTCTACATGCCACGAATACAGAATGTCATTACCTGCCATTATGGCAGAGCTCTAAAAAACACAGCACGCTCCATACTTGCTCTAAATCCTCCTGAACTCAGTCTCTTGACTGAAACATGGATTTGAGCAATGCCCCATGAGATGCCCGCACCAAAAAACCCCACCTTTGGAGGGCATGCAGACCCTACAGACCTTGCAGTTTGCAGGAGGATAGGTGGCAATTTCTAGAACTGAGTTTAATATGATCCTCTACCAAAAAGAAACAAGCAGAACTCATTTTTATTTTCAATGTGGAATTTGTTTTAGAGATGTTTAATTTGTAATTATATCATGCTGGCTGAATGCTTAACTGTGTTGTGGCACTCTTCCCAGAGATCCTCATGGATGCAGCTTTTAACAATTTCTTTCTGTTTCACAGATGGTCTGTATTTGCCTTTTGCTTTATTTTTTGTTTTTTTAAGAACACTAATTGCAATATTTAAAAATGAAAACAAAGAGCAATAATGACAGTGGAACAGTTTCAGGCTTCAAGTGCTTACTTGTCTCCAAAATTTCTTGTGGAACTGAGGTGCTTCTGATTACTGCAAAGGCTGCAAGGTAACACTGATCTCCAATTATGGTTTGAAATTTCAGCAATATGTAATTAATACCTTCAGAATTATGTCTGAGCAGGTCACATAGCTGTCACAGGTATCCCTGCTATCAGCTGTAGCCAACCTCTGCTAATCAACTCCTCCAAAAAACCAAAACAACAGCAACCAAGAATGGATTCATTATATTCTCCAGCCTGGCTTTTCCACACTCCAGATAACAGTGGGAAGGGGGTCCCAGTCCCAGCTGCTGCTGTCCCCCAGGCAAGCCTCCAGGGTGGCTCTCCCTTCCATGCACTTCATTCCCAGTGACCTTTCTTTGATGGGACTGCAAAGTCCTGATGGATTGCAGCAAATCACAAGCAGCCCTAGTTCTCCTCAGAAGCAAACACTGGGCTCTTGATCCCAAATATTCCGTATTTGAGCATGTTGTGGAGCTTGGCTTTAAGCCCCTCATTTTCCTGCCAATTTCAAATGTGATTCAAATCTCAGTTAATTTTCTCATCTGTTGCAGTCACTCTCACAGGACTTTGTTAGAAGCAGAATACAGAGGGGATTGTAAGAAAATTAATTGGGGGAATTTCTAGACTTGGCACTTCCAGAAGGATTTAAGAGGCCAAATCAGATGATGAGACCATCATCTTAATATTAATCCCTTCCTTCCACACACATTTTTTACCCCTATGAAGAATTCTCTCTTGCCTAGACTTTAAATACAAAAAGCTACTCATGCAGGGACAGCCTCCACTGCAGAGATGTGCTGTTTGACTGCTTTGTCATTGATGAACAGGAAATTACCAGCTAATAAAAGATGTTGACACAGCAAAACAATCCAAGAATAAATCCTAGACCACTTACGGCTCCTTCCCAATAAGTTAAATTTCAGTGGAATTTTCACTGCTGTTCTCATCTGACAACAAAGAGAAAGCCAGGCCATGATCAGCAGTGATTTTAAGGCAAATGAAAAAAAGTAAATAAATGCCACAAGGAATCCTTCTCAGGCTGCTGGCAACAGCACAGCTACAGAATTAGCCTCTGCTGGTGACAGATGGGTGTCACCCAGGTGGAACAGATGACACATTAAACAACAGACAGTCTCTCACTCCATCATATTTGACCCCAAAATGACAAAGCTCATATTTAAGGAACAAATTACCCTGATCTGTTAGGCATATTATTCTAAGTCATCCCATGTGCATTTAGAGACCCAGGTACAGAACAGATTGTGTCATGTAAGGGCTTTATCTTCACTGATTTAACCTATAGGCATTATAGAAAGGTAAATCTGTAGCTGAGCTTCCTACACAAAATAAAACCCTTTTGCCCTGTCTGCAAAGCAGATATTTTCTTGCAAAAATACCAAGAGGAGGGAAGATCATAGTTAATTCCATTCCAAACCAAAATACAAATCTGTACACTGCACTTCAGTTCTTCACAGTCAGATTTGCTGTACAGCACAAATGTCCCTTATCCCAGAGGATAAGGGACATTTTAAACAGAGCTGGATCAGGTCAGGTAGAACTGAATTTGAGCCCTGTGGAATTCCAGAGATGTGGAGCCAGATAACCCTCAATAGCTAGACATGATTGGTGGTTTTAAAGCTTGAATATTTCAAAGAGAGTATTTTCCATCAATATCACAAGAGGGAAACAACCAAGACCAAAATAATGTCTCACAGCTTTTATTTTGTGTATGAATCAACTGGTCTAGAGGAAATACTACCTTCTTTGACTGGGAGTGTGGAAGAGTTCAAGGATACAGTATGTATTTTTAAAGGAAAACCTAATACACATGTTTGGAAAGGAAAAGGACAAGACTTAAGCTGCTGGCAGTATTTGCAGACATCCCTAGACTTTTTGAATAGAGGTATTCTTCTGGGGGCTTTCACCTTGTCTGAAGGTTTTGTACTTGTTCCAGGTCTTGCACTGTTTATTATATTTTAGAAAGTCAAGTTATTCTTTCCTACTGCACTGCAAACTAGAACATTACTCTTGCTAATTTTGGGGACTCAAGAGCAAACAGAGCAGGGGAAGAGGCAGACAGATGAAAGCACAATTCTAAAAAAGCATTTTAAGTTTCCACTAAAAAAAATAAACCACAACCAAAAGAACCCCAACTAAACCAAAGAGGAGAAGGAAGGATTTTCCTCAAACTTGCAGCAATAAAGTCTGATCGTTTTTTGCTTGCAGTATTAAAACGATTGCTACAAATCTGCCTGACCCAGCACTGCATCAGCAATACAGGAAATGTGACAAGGGGCAACTTCCAACACTTTTTTGTCAGACCAAGACAAACAGACAGAAACTCGACCCTGGAGATTAATATTAAAGCCATAAATAAAGAGATGGCTTGCAAAGGAAACCACGGCAGATTGTGGGGAATTATTTCAAAAAGATGTTAAAAAGAATTAGTGAAACTCCAACCCCTCACACATATACTGTGATCTCAATTTCCCAGGCATTTGAAAAGACAACATTCCTTCCATCCTGCCAGCTCGGATGTAGAGGAACTGTTCTGCTCCTCTGAGTTTGCACTGCGTGCTGTAGGGCTACTCAGAGCTCTGCTTGGCACATTAGAACTGCTGTGGTTTAATCTTCACCCTACATTCCAAAAAAGAATGCTCATTGGTGTTCACTGTCAAAGTTTACTAATTCTCTCCAAGAGCTACTCTGATATCTATCCCTATGGAGTTCAGACTTGTGATAATTGTGTATGGCCAAGTGAGAAGGCTTTTAGATAAATTCCATCAGGTTCATCAGCTTTGCAAATCAAGGAAATTTCTTTTGAGGTGAAGAAACCATATCTTAGATAACATCATTCATTCATTCCTACAACCATTGACTCCTGATCATTATCCAAGGCCTCCTTTTGTTATGTACCCTATGAACAGAGTAAAGAGTTTCTTCTCTACAGTTTGCTGTTTTAAGATAAGAAACAGATTGACAAACTTGGATGTGCCCGTTTCCAAAGGTGACTGTTCTTCCTAAGTGACATTCTCTGCAGGAGGCATCCCCTAACCTAGGGATGGGATGGGCTTCTAAAGCTCATTGAATTCTTCTGTGGATAGCATGGCTCAACCTATCACATCCCTGAAGGAAATGTTCTCCATGGCATCCTTAACTAATGGTTATTGCTACCAGAGCTTACCGGAGGTTCATCTGAGAGAGAGGGCTTTTAATGAAGGTTGCACTCCTCATCATTTGCAGTCTTCGGTTTTGCATTTCTTGCTACTACGAAACATCCAAAAGCCACCGTTTGCCAGTATTTAGAAGAAGGGCAATCATGGTTTTGAAAATTCAGTTTCTCAGGGACCAAGCCCCAAAACCATGGAAATTTCACTGATGGTTTTAATGAGAGAGGGATTGGTCCCTGTATTAATTCAGGACATAAGTGTGATTTCCCCTTCCTCTCCAGTCTCCTGAGAATAACATATCTGGGAAATGACATCTTGTCACACACACGCATCAGCAAAAGCATCTGGGAATTCCCATTCAAGGTGAGCAAACACAGTTAATTCAAACACAGTTAATTCAAGCAGGATCTCTTGGCACAGACAAAACTCTTTTAAATTAGCTCCTGTATTTTTGGAAGGCCTTTCTTCAGCACTTTAATAATAATAAGCCTATTTAATAATGAGACATGAACAAACAAGAGACACTGGATTTCCTCCAGCTTCTCCTGGCCTTGAAACTTCTCTCTTCTTCCACAGTTTCACTGGCCTTATGAATGGCTGTGAGAGGAATCTGGGAAGCTGGAGGTCTCCTCAAGCTCTGCTGGGAAACAGTCCCAAGTATCCCGCACTGGAGCCGAGATGTGAGAGCAGTTCCCAAATTAGCCACAGTAACTCCGTATAAAGCAATTCCTGCTCTGACATTTGGCAAATCTCAGTGCTTTTCCTACAGCACTGCTCTTGTGTTTGAGATGTCAATTACATGCCTGAATAATTGCACAGCCAGGGTCACAATCAATTACCATTTCTCAAGTTAACTGCCTGGTACTGCAGATAAACAAAGAGAGATTTGGGCTTCATCTCCAGTAAAGCTCTCTTACTGCCAATGACATCCCAAGTTTCCTGGCTTCTGGCAGCCATCAGCAACACTGTCCCAGCTGAACAGCTCCAGAAAGCACCAGAATTTAGGTGGGATGGTTGGGTGGTTATTTAAACAGTGCTCACATAAACTGAGAGATGAAGGGCAGTGAGAGGTACTGAGCAATGACAGCCCCCTACCTTGAGCAAGGAATATTCAGGGAGCTGGAATAATGTTAAATGAGCAGGGTTTTGCTAGTTAATTAACCTGATCTAATCAACATATTTCTATTGCTGCAGGTGTACCAGTTAATTTTCATCAGTATAGGCAATCAAAGACATTATACTGATATAGAATTACACATGTGGAATTGTGCTCACTTCCCCTAAAGCTGTGACTCACAGGTAGATCTGCAAATGCAGGGAGCAGCAGATGGAACACAGGAATTAATACCCCAAACAAGACACAATTCCTTTCAGTTTACTGGAAGGATCCTTTTTTTACAAGGCTCTTTTGAAAAAAAAAATTACTGATAATATGGAGCTATTCTAAAAAAGGAGGTATTTTGATGGTTTTCTTTGACATAAACAGGAGGTGAATCAGTTCAGAGTTGTATGACTACACGATAAATTAATGTTGCTGATTGAAAAACTGTTCTACTCCAGAATGTGTGAATGTATGTATATATATAAATAAAATTTATTTTATACAACTCCTGTGGGGTTATTCTGGCTTTCCAGTCCTAACAAATAGAAAGTTTTTGTTGTTTGATTTTGTTTTGAAGTGTAGCCAGTGAAAGCAATGATGCAAATTACACCTTGGAAATAAATAAGTTCACCAACTGTGTTATTTTTAGTCATCTCTCCAAATTTGCAATGCTGGTTAAATATTTGGTCTCACAACACAGCAGATAAAAGTTGTGAATAGCACTAAACCCCATTCTACTGATTTCAGCTGGAATAAAGCACAGTCAAGGCAAACCTTCCCATTACTTCTAAATCAAAACTGTATGCTATCTTTGCTACTCCTGCAAAAATGAAAAAATAATCCTATTGTTTGGAGTAGCACTTGGTCCCCAAGGAAAGAATTCCTTTTGAACTAAACAGTCTTTTGTTTTGAATCTCTGCTAGGCAGGGAAACCAAATACAGCCCTTAGTTTCTCCCCCTTCTCATGAGCTCTTTCACCATCTGTGCATGATCATGGCCCAGCCTTTCTTGCCAGTCTCTGACAAAGACTCCTCCCAAACACCTCTCACCATGGGAACACATGGCTGCTGGGATCGCCAGCTTCGATTAAATGTGACATGAAGCCACTCCCCAGGCATCATCCAGGGCCTGATGTGGAAGGAGAAACTGGGGAACTATTCTCTCCTTCCATTCTGCATCTGTGCCCCAAACTGCCCTTGTCCCTACAGAGTTTTCAGGGACACAGTGCAACAGAAGCTGAACCCCAGTACTCACAGCAAACCAGCATCCAAATCAGCAGAGGCATGACTGGGGTGCTTTTCAAATGGATATTATGAGCAGAATGAACAGGTAGGAAGCCAAAACAGACAGAGTGGTGTGTTCTTTTTTTTCCTCCCACTATACAGTATCAAGCTGTCTCTGGTTTGCTGAGCTGTTCTCCCTCTTCTGTCCCCTGGGCTGGAATCATCCCTGTGGACATTAGTTCTTGGAGCAACATTATCTGTAAAGAAAAAACCATTTAAGACTGCAGATCTATTCATGCTTACTTAGAAAAGAAAGGACTTGGCCCTGCAGCTTTGCGATAAATGGTTAATTAATGCAACGATGCTGGTGGCAGGTGGCAGAATTAAGTTCGTAATTTTTAGATTTTTCCCAATTATGTCATACAAACTATGATCTCATTGTGCTATTGCGGCATTGTCTTGAAAGGATTGCTGATCTACAGAGAGAGGGGGATAAAACTGGGTAAAACAAATGGTCAGGCTTGTAATGGGTCTCTGTTACTCCCAAAGTGCCTGTTGTTCACAGCAGTCCTGGCAATTCAGCTGGTTTCAGAACAGCAAGTCCATTCTTGAAGCAGCAGCTCAGCCCCATCTGAGTTTGGCACTTTCATGTAACAGGGAGTTTACACAGGAGTTTTATAGAGATTACACACAAAAAAAGAGACAAAAAAACCCCAGTTATAAGACATTAAATTCACTTAATACCTGATGTTGGTTCAGCTCCTGTAGATGTCCTGCCTGAGTTGGTTACAGGAAGCCAACCTGCTTTGCATGGAAGGTCAGTTCTTCCCATTCTTCAGAATGATTTTTTGCTGGCAGTGTGACTGATGGGATGACTCAGGCCTGCCAGTCGCTTCATCCTTGTGAGCAGAGCTGAAAATCTCTTGTCACTCCATAACTTTTCTCCTAGATTCAATTGCTCTCTCCAACTCTCTCCTCTGAAGGAAAAGGGAAATGTTCTCCCAGCCTCTCCAAGAGCCCTGCTCTAGGGTATCTAAAGAAGTTCAGTGCAAACAAACAGTCTTAACAGTTTTCTCCTCACCCTCCCAGAGTCACTCCTTTGCCTCCTTGGGGAGCACTGTAGGCTCACACAGCTCCTACATTTCCCAGCTCACACCTTCAGCACACCTGGCAGCAGGGAAACTCTCAGGTGCCTCCTGACAGGCACTGATCACTGGTCCATGTCCCCCTCAGGGACAGAGTTTGCAGGTGGCTGTGCCCTCCAGGCTGGCTCAGCTTGGGACAAGGGTCTGGTTGCTATGATTAAGGAGACCTCTACTACATTTCAGGAAATCCTCCAGGTGCAGAGGCCTAAAAATTTGTTTTATAAAGAGAAATATGAAATACAGTGCCATCAACCCCAAACAGAAGATGGAGTGAGCTGGGAATGATAATACTGGGATGCAAGGGATAAACAAGGCACCTGACTGGGACTTGGCTCCAGCGGGGAGCAAGAGGTGCCAGCTCCTGAAATCTCAGCCATTTCCCAATTTCCCAAGCACATCACATGTAAAAGCTTAGCTCTGCCATCACACCATGCTCTACACAAACAGCCTTTGTGTCCAGAGGAGGAGCCTCTGCCTGGCAGGAGCTGAAACCGCCTGTGGCAGATGTTGAAATCGTTTCTGTGCCGAGCGCCATGGCACACAGGCACAGGTTCTCCACTCCACGGTGCAGAGAGCTTTAGGAGACCTGAGGCTGAGGGAGCCACACCGTATGCTGTATTCCAAACTGCAGGAGAGGATGCCTTGAGGAGAGCTCGCAGGGTAATCTTCTGTGCATATCAAAGACAGAATTTTAAGTAACCCAGGATACAGGATGTACCTAGTTTATAAATTGTTCCATTTCATTGGCCTGTAGAAAAGCAGGCATTAATTAATCAAAATGTAACATCTGACAGCTTTTTTGAAACCCTCTTGTCCTGGTTTGGCATCACAACATTTAAATATATCATGATGTGCTTTTCAAAAGCCCGATTGGAAAAATTACATCATTTTGGACTTTCTCAACATTTGGTGCGTCAGTTCCCAGTGTCTAAGAGTCCCATAAATAGATATTGGACCACCTCAATACAATTCCTGTCTGCAGATTTTCCATAACACACTTCACTCTATTATTCAAATAAAGTCCAAGTGGATCTTTCCCTGGGAACAGGGGTTATGCAATGCTCAGCACAGGAGGCTCAAGAAAAACAGTGTAAAGTCAAACATCAGCTGCAAACACTTGCAGAGCAGCAGAGTCTATTTATATTTATTTATATGTTGTGTTTCCATTTCATTCTCACTTAACAGCCCCCAGCTCCTTTTGTCTCTTTTGATCTACCAGACTCTTTCTCACATCTTGGTACATCAAGAGTGCGGCCCAGCAGCTACACATGAAATTGCCAACCTTTTAATAATGAAAATAATAATGGCAGGATGATCAAAAGTGTAATCTAAGATCTTTATGCTTCTAGGAACTACTGTTCCAAATTAAAATTATAAGCCCCTATAGTATTTTGCCAAAATTGACCAAATTCTGGGATCTGACAGAAAACCAGAATATTTAGTTTCAGGTCAGAGATGTAACATGATAATAGAGAGATACTCCCAATAAGTATCTAAACCTTATATGTGGATGAATTTCATTATCTGTGCTACCAGCCATGAGCATTTTAATGAGAAAGTTCTTGAATGCAAGGATCCTCTTAAGCATCACCATTTCCATTCATTTTCCATTCTATTTTCACCAGACTGGTGAGACATTTCACTTTCAATGTGACTCAGAATGCCAAGTTCAGAAAAAAATATCTCCATAGTTACACACTTCTCTCTTGCAATGAAGTGCCAGCTCTCCGGTGCCCAGCTTTCAAACTGTCAGTGCTGTAACACAGCAAAAATGCCTCAGTCACCAGGAGAGGCTCGTTCCCAGTTGTTAGCCAGCACCTAAAGCTTACAGCAATGTTTTCCTCTCAGCAAGGATTGCTGAAAGACCCCATAGAAATTATCTAAAAATCCAGCTGGCAATGTAAAAGAAAATTTTGTGTAGATATGCATCCAGTCTGTAATACCAAAAGGAATGATTCAGTCTGAATTGGTCAAAATCAGAGAAATTCCAGAGGGTATATATTGGGAAATTGGACATGTATGGACCATATAAATATGCAAAAATAGATTCTATTCATACAATCTCTCTCAGTATAAAATGTAATACACACATTATTTCAAGTTTAACTCTTATGTTTGCAATGTACAGAAATTAAGAACAAGGTATTAATTAAGAAATAATTACAGTATATTCTTTCATTTAACACAAGTACAGCAATGCAATGTAAGAGATCTCCACCTTTACTCAGAAGACATTAGGGGACATCCATACAGGCAATACCATTAGCTAAAAATGCATGGCCTGGGTTACAGATAAGCCCACAAGTGGTTTTTGTTTGTTATGTAATTCTCATTTCTAGAAATAAGAAATTGCCTTGTGACTGTTTCTCATTCTGACTTCTGTAGTTACATTCTAAAGTCACAATCACATCTCACTGTTTGCTTTATAAAGACATGTAGGTTGCACCTGGGCTTCTCCCATGGACTTACAAATTCGACTCATGGACTTACAAATCCTCAAAATCCTACAAAAACATAAATTCACTTGACACAGGCGAGTTCAGGATCTGATTCCTTCTGGGGCCTGTGATAATTTCGGCATCAGTTTGAAGCACCAGCAGCACCAGGTCCAGAGCTCTCCTCCACGCCTCCGTCTTGGCTACAACGTTATCACAAACCTTTAAATCTGTGACACGGCCAGGGAAGGGTTCAGAGCCACCCCTGAGCACTCCACCTCTCCTAAACTCTTCCAAAATGTAAGCTGAGGGAGAGCCACAGGCCGCTGCTTTCTGGAGATGATGATCCACGGCGGCACCTGCTTCCAGCTCCGAGCTGACCGTCGCCGTGTTACACAGGAGCACGCAGAGGTATCGCTTCCAGCCACTTGCCAGTGCCTGGAGCACAATGGATTTACACCCTGCCAGCCAGGGACTGGGAAGCTCTTTGGCGTTTCCCGGCCGCTCGGGCTGCTCTGCGAGCGCCTGGATGTGACTGAGGCACAAGAGCTCCACTGCACCGCCCCCAGGGAAAACCTTCCCGTCCTTTAGGGCGTGATGGAGTCGATACAGCAATGTCCAGAACTGGTCCTCGAGGAGCTGCGCCTTGGAAGGCAGGGCGGTGGTGAGCACGGCCGTGAGCAGGGGGATGCCTCCCGCGCTGATCCGCGCCGGCAGCCGCTCGCCCAGATCCACCGCGCGCCCATCGCCGGTCTTCCACAGCTCCGCCCAGGCCCGATTCCCGATACAGGAAGTGTTCAGCTGGCTCAGGTACGTCACTGCCTGGGCACCAGTGGCTGAGCCGAAGGCACACAGCACAGCCCGAGCCACACAGCCAATTACCAATATCCTGCTGGCGAGGCACCTTTCCATGAAGTTTTTGCACACGTTTCCTTTGACCAAAACCAGGTTTACTTCAAAGCTCATCAGTACATCCGACATTCTGCTCGGCCACGCATCTCCTGCCCCGCCTCCCTGTGGATTGGGATGCTCCAATATGGTCCTTACGTTAGGTGGTCTGTTAAAACCTAAGTGTCGGTACTCCTCCGTGAGGTCACCGTCCACCAGCAGAATCCGGAGGGGTTTGTCTGCAAAGTGCTTGATGACTGTGGCTTGCTCTGGTGACACTAATGTGACAAAGCCTGGGGAGACACAGGAATAGCTCTCGGGCAGGCCCAGCACAGAGCACGTCACAATCTCTGCAAGATTAACCTGGGAAGAGCCACTGCACTCTGCTCTCCCCTGCTGATAAGCAGCAATGCTTTGTAGCAGTTTCACGCTGGTCTGGTTTCCATGGCTCAGAGCCACTGCCAAGCGTCCTAAACCACACAGATCTGCTGCTGGTCCTGAAAGGTGTCCCTGGAAATTACCTTGCTGACTGGCAAAAGGGCTTTTCCCTAGAGTGCTGAAGTGCCTGCTGTGGGTTAACTTCTGTGCGATACAGCTGGGTGCAGTAACACCACTTCCAGACAGCGTAGGTGAACTTTTGTCACCCACTGCCTTGACAACAGAAGCCACTGAACCAAAGCCAGCCAAGGGTGAAACCAGGAACTTGTTAAAATTACAATCATGTCCTTGGTGGGAACAAGAATTTATTGGAATTACCTCTTCTGTTGCAGAAATATCTGTCTGAAAACACAGCAAATTCCAAGAATTTTTAAGATCATGACGTCCAACTTGGCCAGTTTTGCTTTCCAAAGCCTTTGGCCTAACTCTGCTAGAACACAGCTCTTTCTTTACATCATGTATTGGTATTTGAAGACACTGGACTCTCCCACAGCAAGAGTTCAACCCCTCAGACATCACAGACACTATTGCTGGAACAGGAATGTTCTGCTGGAGGCACTCCACCACAGCATTGCTCCAGGCTCCAACCAGGAACAACAGGGTACTCATCCCCGTCTTAAACTCCTTGTTCTGAGCCTGAATGGTTTCGTTAAGAAGCTGTCCAACAGCACTTGTCAAATCCAAACTTTCAATCAGCCTAACAGCAGAACAAATCAATGTGCTCTGGTTGGTGATTTCATCCACAATGAATTTATGTGATTTCATTGGCCCCAGGAATGTTCTCCCAGTGGATGCTAAGGTTGAGAGCTGCTGGAGTCCAATGTGTCTCC